CCATCAAAATGATGCATTTAATTATTCTGGCTGCTGTGAGAAAAGGCTATAAACGATCCGCCACCTGCAGGATCCTCACATGCGATAGCCTAGTAGCCGGGACAACTTCTTTATGTTTACAGACGTGACGTAATGACGCAGCGCCATGCTCGAATTTCCCGCGAAAACCTACCCGTACCACTCAAATTAGAAAACATTATTATAAACTAACCGTTGTGAATCGGGCTAAAGTAAGGCTATAGTTCTGAACACTGGCTGGTTATGTACTTGCTCGAATGTTGATTTCGGATCATCTTTAACCAAAAAAAGTTACGGACTGCAGCTTTAAGTACACAATTAGATAATGCCAATTTAGGTCAACCAATTACCAAGCAATGCTTAATTTTGTTCAGTCTGTGGTGTAAAAAGGTCGCATTAGTAATTAAAGAAAAAAACACTTAAGCAAAACATGATCAGGTCAAAGTGTCTGAATAATTTTTGGACCCAAATTTTTATCAATTTTACTGGTAGTCCACTGTATGAAGAATTTTTGGGTATAATATATCACAGTTTACTTTATTTTGCTATCCTCACTTACATAAATGAAAGTGAGGATAAATGCTATACATGTAAATGTAAATGTAACTATAGTGTCCTGCACCCACTAGTTAAAAAATATCAAAAATTATATCTGGTGTGTATGCAATTTTATTTTATTGTTTTTAAAAATATATATTTTGTTGTTGTATTCCAAGTGTGTGTGTGTAGGTTAAAGAAATGGTATGTATATTTTTTATTTTCCTTTTTATTATAAATATATATATATTATTATTTTCTGTGTATGTTTGCACAGAATGCATGTAATTTAACAAATAATAATTTATAAAAATTTACCAATAATGGTAGAATGGTATTTTAAATGATATTTTACAAAAAAAATTTCAGGGCAATTGTAATATTTTGAAATGATATATAAACGGCAAAAAAAAGGTTTGGTAATATTAATGGTAATTTTTTTTACTTTTTAATAGTTTTTTTATTTTTAGTATTTACATACTTTTATATAATACTGTTTAATAGGTTTCTTTTTTTGTAGTCAAAATTTCAATGTTTATGTCTTTGCAGAAACTGGCCTTCAGAAGCAAATATGCTGAGATATATTCACTGGAGTAAACAAGTGACAACTATCCCAAGTAAGTAGCAAATATGTTACCATTATGGGTTTTGATAATTTGTTCTTATTCTATTGATATACAAGGAAAGCTGAAAATATTACAGATGCTATAATGAAATGCAAATATGGTGACAGATATTTTTTAAATTTCGCAGTGGACAGAAAGAAACCAAACTAACCCAAGCTCTTAAAAATATCTACTGTATTTATATTGGAGGTTTTAGCAGATGCCACCAAAGTGACCAAAACAAGCACTTAGTGTTTATATGCTCTGGTTATGAGCTGTAGTCGTAGTTTTGCTCCGGTATTGCTGGAATGGGGGATTGTTGTCCTTGACTGACCCGGCGCTGCTCTCAATTCTTCCCGTTTGCTGGAAAGCATCAGCATATTGGACCACAGTGAGCTTTCAATACAAAATAACCACGTAAATCTCTGCCCGGTTTCAGATTTAACCACATTGTTAATAGTCTTCCAGTCAAACTTCCAGGCCAATGTTCCTCTGTGGTTGGTATTTCTTCCATCTCGATTAAAAATAAATGTTATCACGGACAATACTGTGCTTGAAACTCAACAAGATGACGAGAAGAAGCAACGCGAGCGTGAAATGATGATGATGAGAGGACGGTCTAAACTGTTTATCTTCCTGAGCATGTTTCTGTCCATTTGAAATGACATGACTGTCATGAAACTTTTAATGTCAATATACTTGAACAAATAAGGCGGTTTGGAAAGTTTTGAACCTGTTTTTATTTTTGGACTGTACTTCTATAAAATGATTAGAAATTACTGTATTGCATCAATGCAGATTTTTGTTGTTACCAACATGAAAACCGCAGTCAGGATTATTATTAACTAAAATTAAAACCATGAGAAACATTTTTGTTACTTGAAAAAAAATGAATGTTAACTAAATACAAAAGAAATAAATAAAAATATTTAAAAAATCATTATAGCAAGACAACATTTCTAAAATTGTAGTTTACTTTAAATACTAAAAGAACAAAAACACATATTAAAAAACGCTAATTAACTAATAAAATAATAAAAATTAAAAAACACAACAAAATTACTAAAACTTTAGTTAATATTAAAGTAAAAGCAGAAAATATGAAAAATAAAATCTCATTATATATATATACACACTGCCGTTCAAAAGTTTGGGATCAGTAAGATTTTTTATGTTTTTTAATGGAGTCTCTTGTGCTCATCAAGGCTGTATTTATTTGATCAAAAATACAGAAAAACCTGTAATATTGTGAGATAATATTTCAATTTCTAATATTGGTTTTCTGTTTTAATATACTTTAAAATATAATTGATTGTTGTGATCAAAGCTGAATTTTCAGTCTTCAGTGTCACATGATCCTTCAGAAATCATTCTAATATGCTGATTTACATGTACAGTAACTGTACATGTACAGTAAATGAACATACTTTCCAGAAGGCCAACAATTCACAAAAAAATTTTTTTTTATTGGTCTTATGAAGTATTCTAATTTGTTGAGAT